GCTAATCTCCAGGAGATGGTGAGTTCTAGTCCCACCTTAGGCATGAAAGCTGACTAGGTGACTATGGCCCAATCACTAGGAGATGGTAAGTTCTAGCCCCAACTTAGGCAGGAAAGCCATCTGGGTGATTTTGGGTCAATCATCGGGAGACGGTGAGTTCTAGTCCCACCTTAGGCATGAAAGCCAGCTGAATGGCTTTGGGGCAATCACCAGGAGACTGTGAGTTCTAGTCCCACCTTAGGCATGAAAGCCAATTGGGTGACTTCAGGCCAATCACCAAGAGACTGGGAGTTCTAGTCCTGCCTTAAGCATGAAAGACAGCTGCGTAACTTTGGGCCAATCACCAAGAGACTGGGAGTTCTAGTCCGGCCGTAAGCATGAATGCCAACTGGGTGACTTTGGGCCAGTGCCTCTCTCCCTCTCTTGGCCCAACCCACCTCACAGGGTTGTCGTTGTGGGGCAAATAGTAAGGAGTATTAGGCATTTTCAACTCCCTTGAGTTACTTATAAAGTAACAAAGGTGAGATTTAAAGAAAAAAAAAACCCTTATAAATAACTAAAATGAATGAAGTGGTCAGCTCTCTCCCGATGTCCCAAATATTCCAAAATGGGACAATCCGTTTTCTTCCAATCTTGAAAGCATGGGGGGGGGGCTAATTAAACCAAATTCAGGGTGGCTAACAGAGGCAGAGTTACAAGGATATGTCTCTGGCCTTAAAACCCCAAAAAGCAGAATTTTGAAAAACCCCAAGGAGGCTGTCCTTTTTTGTGACACTTGGCACTTGCTGCTGGGGGGGGGGCGCGCACTGGCTTCCCTCTCCCCACAACCGGGGCAGCCTCAGCCCAGCAGAGCCCCCCCCCATTCTCCCCACCTCCCATGTAAAAGCGACCAGGCTACCCAGCTCAAAGATGGGCCCAGAGACCTCCACTCCTCAAAAGAAGGAGGAGGGAAAAAAACCACATTTCCAAAACAGCCTTTTGCTGTCAGCTGCACATCAGCCATCGTCCATTTTCCTAACCCCAGACCTCGAATGAATGAAAGAGCGACTCTGCCACCAACCCCGGGTTCGTTTCCTTCCGGAACACAAAGAAAAAGCTAAAAAAATAAATAAATTGGCACGCTCGGTTGGGTTGCTATCTTTTTTTTTTAATAGACTCAGGACCAGACGCAGGTGTCTTCCCAGCCCATCCTCCTGCGCGGGGATTAAAGCTCCCACCTCTCCACTATTTTGTGGGGGGTGGGTTAAGAGGGGGAGTAGACCACCTTCCTCTTTGTCTTGCCAGCGTCCGTGTGTGGCTCAACGGCAGGCAAATTACGCAACCCCCCATCCCAACCCCCCCCCCGCCCCGTTCCGCAACCGGCTCGTGGTCCGCTTGGCTGGGGATGATGGGAGCTTGAAAGGGAAGGGTGGATCTAATGGCCTGAGCGCAGGGTGGGAAGGGGGAGGCCTTCTTCGTCTCCCGCCTTCCCCTCCCGAGGCGATCCATGGCTGCGAGTTGGTTCCCATCAGTTTGAAATCTCCCTTGGCCTGAAGCAGACCGAGCCGTGCTGGGTCCGGGTTGATCCTTTCTCCTCCCCGTCCCTCCCTCCGGAAGCCAACCTGCCTTCCAGGCCCGAGAAGCCCCTTCCCACGCCCCGCAGGACCCCCACAACCAGCCCTGACGCGGGGTGTGGAAGGCATCTCTCCCCCCTCCTCCTCCAGACGCAGGTCCGTTCCCTCCCGGGGGGGGGGGTAGAAGAACCAACCCTAACCCCCACACACACAAAAAAGCACCCAGATCCGGCCAGGCTGCTCCGCTGCAGCCCACCGCCCGCTTTTCTTCGCAGGAAGCCGCGGCTGCAGCCGGCCCTCCCTCCCTCCCTTCCTCTGCTTCGCTCTCTGGCCCGTGTAAACGGGAGGCTCCGGAGCCGCAAAAGGGGCCGCAGCAGCAACTCCGGCCGGACCCCCGCCCAGCATCCCTGCATGCCTCCCTTGCCTCGGCCAGCCCCTGCAGCAAGGCAGCCCCGGCGCGCCCCCTCGGTCACACAGGGCCGAAGCAGCCCCTCGAGGAAGGGCAGGGGCTGTTGGGAGGAGACCCCCGGGATACCTCCCCCCCCCCAAGCCCGCTCCCCTCACTCACCACCTGGCGCGCGAGCTCCGTGGCCGCCATGGCCCCCCCCGGCCTCTTCCTCCTCTTCCTCCTCCTCCTCTTTTTCTACCTCCTCTTCTTTTTCTTCCTCCCCTTTTCTCCTTCCTCCTCTTCTTCTCCCTCCTTCTCTTTTTCTTCTTCTTCCTCCTCTTCCTCCTCCTCTTTTTCTTCTTTCTCCCCTTCTTCCTCTTTTTCTTCTTCTTCCTCCTCCTCCTCAGCCCCGGTAAGAGCAGCAGCAGCCGAGCGCGCCGCCACCTCCGGCTGGCTCAGCCCCGACGCGCCGAGGGGAGCCTAGCAGGCGGGGCGGGGAGCTGGCAGGACGCGGCCACTGCGGCAGGAGGGGGGAAGCCGAGCGGGCGAGGAGCGGGGCGTGGACACGACGCGGAGACCCTCCACCTCCCACCACCCGCCTCCAAGCCCCGCGGACCGCTGCTTCCCTCTCTTCTTCCTCCTCCTCCTCCTCCTCCTCCTTCGCTGGCTGGCTCTTCACCTCCCCCTCCCGTGGGGAATGGGCTGGCCGGTTCTCTCTCTCTCTCCCGCTTGCTTCTGGCGCCCCCTCTCCCCTCCCGCGGTGGTGCAAGGCGAGCAGGCTGCAATCCATCCCGGCTGCGCTGCCCGGCTTGTGCGCTTTGGGGGGAGCGGGGAGGGGGACACCCGGAGGATGGAGGGGGTCCTGGGGAGCCCCTGCGCTGGCCCGAGCTGGCTGCCTTCCTCCGAGGGGTCGCAGCTTCCTCCCAGGGGGGTCCCCAGCCCTGCACGAGCCCCCGGAGCTCAACTGCCCCCCTCTATACCCATTGACATTCGGGGCCCAGAAGCAGAGACCGAGGGATTTATATAAATCGGATAAATTCGGTTCTGGACCGCAGTGGGTGCTGAAACGGCCAGTTCCAGCGAACAGTCTGTAGAGTAGAGTTTCTCAACCTTAGCAACTTGAAGATGTCTGGACTTCAACTCCCAGAATTCCCCAACCAGCGAATGCTGGCTGGGGAATTCTGGGAGTTGAAGTCCGGACATCTTCAAGTTGCCAAGGTTGAGAAACACTGCTGGAGAGATTCTCCTCCAGGNAAATAAAGTGGCATTAACCCTTCACGTGATCTTGATTTGTGTTAATGAAAGTTTAATTAAAGTGTGAATTAAGAATTAAATTCATTAAGAAAATTAAAGTGTGAATCTGGGGAAAAAATTAAGAAAATGGTATGTAAAAAAATGTTACGAAAAGAATCTGTGGAGTGATTCCAGAGGCTTTCGTAAACAAATAACAATGGAGGCTTTGAGATTTTATCCCCCCCCCCCCCGAATAATATCTACCTACCCAGAAAAATAGACAAAGGTTCCCTTATAATAGGAGAGAATATCTTCACAGGCTACAAGGGGAAGCCAAGAGAAACTTCGCCCCTTCCTCCTTCCTTCCCTTGTGGTAACTAACCAGATCCCTACAGAAACTGTTGGGAAACCAACTCGCTCTCTAGGTTCCAAATTTGTTGAATCCATTGGGTTGGGTTGCTTTCCCGAGTTTCTAAACCCAAGTTTGTTGAGCAAGCCATCGCGGAGTGGTCTGGGGGATGACCCAAGTCTAGGGGGGAGCCAGGAGAAGCCACAAATGTACAAATCACCGTGTTTAGTACATTGGGAGCTCAACCTATCTGCTAACCAAGCCCAGCTGGGTCTTCTGCTAACTGGTAGAACTTCAAGACTGCAGGGACCAAAATGGGTTTTTCTATCCCACCGCCGAGGTTCTTTGGAATGGGAGAGATGGAGGGCTGCAAATTCCTACAGCCAGTTTGGTCTCATTGGTTAAGGGGCTGGCCTAGAAACCAGGAAACTGGGAGTTCTAGTCCTACCTTGGGTAGGGAAGCCATCTGGCTTTATGGGGAGGATTGACTTTGGGCCCAATCACCAGGAGGTGAATTCTAGTCCCACCTTAGGCATGAAAGCAGGCTAGGTGGCTATGGCCCAATCACCAGGAGACGGTAAGTTCTAGCCCGAATTTACGCATGAAAGCCAATTGGGTGACTTCAGGCCAATTGCCAGGGGACTGGGAGTCCTAGTCCTGCTTTAAGCATGAAAAACAGCTGTGTAACTTTGGGCTAATCTCCAGGAGATGGTGAGTTCTAGTCCCACCTTAGGCATGAAAGCTGACTAGGTGACTATGGCCCAATCACTAGGAGATGGTAAGTTCTAGCCCCAACTTAGGCAGGAAAGCCATCTGGGTGATTTTGGGTCAATCATCGGGAGACGGTGAGTTCTAGTCCCACCTTAGGCATGAAAGCCAACTAGGTGACTATGGCCCAATCACTAGGAGATGGTAAGTTCTAGCCCCAACTTAGGCAGGAAAGCCATCTGGGTGATTTTGGGTCAATCATCGGGAGACGGTGAGTTCTAGTCCCACCTTAGGCATGAAAGCTGACTAGGTGACTATGGCCCAATCACTAGGAGATGGTAAGTTCTAGCCCCAACTTAGGCAGGAAAGCCATCTGGGTGATTTTGGGTCAATCATCGGGAGACGGTGAGTTCTAGTCCCACCTTAGGCATGAAAGCTGACTAGGTGACTATGGCCCAATCACTAGGAGATGGTAAGTTCTAGCCCCAACTTAGGCAGGAAAGCCATCTGGGTGATTTTGGGTCAATCATCGGGAGACGGTGAGTTCTAGTCCCACCTTAGGCATGAAAGCTGACTAGGTGACTNGGAACCTCTTCTAACCGGTTCGGTAAATTTGATGAACCGGTTCTACCGAATAGGTGTGAACTGGTAGGAACCCACCTCTGCTTCAAATGCTGCCAGCTATTTGAAACTGTTTCTCTTAAGATTTTTTTGTACTCCTCTTGAGATCCTGAGTTTCCGAACAGTCCTGTCTCACATTTCTGTTCTCTCCTTAAAATAGTTTGAAAAGCTGGATAAAAACCTAGCTTTGAAAGGCGAGTGAAAAATATCGTGTACGAGTACTCCATTTTTAGAAATTATTTAAACAGAAAAACAGATGCAGTTTATGTGAATTTCAAATATGAAATAATTGTTGAGTAGCCATTTTTACAGCCCATTTTATTGTATGTACATATAACACCCACTTGATAATAAATATCTTTCGGTGGAATGGTACCGCATTCTTTCATAGGGTGCTAAATCTTGCACACAAAGTTTATCAAGAAATCCAGTAAAAGTCCTCAAATCTGGCTTGACTCCTCAATCACATCCATGGAATTTTTTTTGACAGAGTTATGGAAGTAGATTGCCATTACCTTCTTTCAGAAAGCTTTTAAAAATTCCTAGTGTAAACAAGCCTAAAATTGTGAGAAATTCCCTTGTTGTACTATTAATCTGATCTTACTTGGTCATCTAAGAACCATGTTGCCACTTGTTCAGGAAAGAAATAGAGTGGAAGGATTCAGCTCTATTTATTTATTTAGCTCAGAACTACTTACAGCGATTATTATTTTGAGAAATCTGCCTTTATATTATTTATACCATTCAAAATAACTAAACAATGTTATTGTTCACTTTCCGATAGCCATTGTGCCTTAGCATGGTAAGCGTTGTTAGTGTAAAATATTCAACTGGACTTTTGAATTAGATGTTGGCCAAAATGTGTAAGAAAAAACATGACTTTGTGCGAGATATAAAATCAGACAGCACTGAATTATGCAGGATACTAAATTCAATCCCATGGATTATGCTGCAACTGAACTTGGATGTTTGCTCTCCGTAGAACCATTAATCTCAATAGATAATAGATAGATAAATGCTAGAAAGACCATAGTTAGCTAACATTTGTCCATTCTGGGTAGAAAACAAAAGGTAGGAAGAGTTTGCACTTATTTTTTACAAGTTTAAAATGGTCAAGAGGTTTCTTCCATCCTCCTTTACTTTTTTAAAAAAGCTTAGCATGGTGACAACATCAGTGGTCTATTTGATAGACAAAAGTTGAGCTTTTTGATGGATTTTTATTGTGTAAAGGGCCTGGTGCTGAAAGGAAAACTTAGGCTGCATTATGCATTTCAAAAAATAAGTAAAAGCCCCTTTCTCTGGCCTGGTTTGAGTTGACCGAATTTTCTAGGGTTTTTGTCTAACTGAAAATCCAACCCCATTTCCCCCAACGTAAGCAGATAAATGAGGCAAATGTACCTTAGCTCATTCATTTTGCAATTGCTTGAGTTGCTCAATGCTATCTGTCCTCTGGAGGAATCTATGAAATGGTTCCACCACAAAACCACGTTCGACTAAAGCGCGCTCGACGAAACCGCGTAGCTGACGTCATGACAGCGCGACAACAGTGCGGAGAAAAAAGCACGCTGTAAACGCCAAAGCTAAAATTAACCCCTAAACCTAATCCTAAACCTAACGCTAAACCTAATCCTAACCCTTAACCTAACCCTAAACCTAACCCTAACCCTTAACCTAACCCTAAACTTAACCCTAACCCTTAACCTAACCCTAACCCTTACCCTAACCCTAAACCTAATCCTAACCCTTAACCTAACCCTAAACTTAACCCTAACCCTTAACGTAAGCCTAAA